TCCATCCTCTATCCTGACTGGAACCCTATCCACCATTGCTTCCAGATCTCTAAGCAGAGGTTCATTAGGCCCCTCCCACTCCACTCTTCTAGATCATTCCATCTGTCTGTTGCCAGCGTTCTCCGTAGCCCCATCCCAGAGGTTGTTGATCTGTCCTTTGAGTTTCCGATTCTGAGCTCGGTGGCTTCCCCGCTGGTTCTTTTTCAAAGCGGAGTGCTCTCTTACTCTCAGCTTGGTTCTTACAGATTTCTCTTTCCTTTTCGAAAAAGCACAAAAATCATTATTGTTTTATGTGTCGTCTCCATGGGATAGTGTCAGACCTGAAGGCTCTGCGGCTTGTTCCCGCGGCAGCCTGTTTCACTTCCTTTCCGTTCTGTGACTTTTGTCATTTTCTCACCTTGAGAGCTGATCATTTACTTTGGAAGTCAACTTGAGGACATGCTGACAGTGTGTATGTGCGTGTGTGTGTGTGTGTGTGTGTGTGTGTGTGTGTGTTTATGCCTCTTTGTAAAATCTAAAAATCCACAAATGAGAGAAACACTGTGTTCGACTTTCTAACTCTGTTTTAATTCTCTTAATAGGATTCTCTCCGGTTCCCCTGTTCCGTTCACTTTCTTGCAAGTGGCATAACTCCGCTTTTCTTCACAGCTGAGTTGGATCCCACCGGCATCCGCATCTCATTCTCCGAATCTACTCCGGTAGAGGGCGCCTCCGTGTTAGCCGGTGAGGATAGAGCTGTAACATGGGATGTGCGAGGGGTTCTGACATCCGGACTTAGGCCCCTGCGGGTAAATGAGCATGGGTGTCTCCAACTGAACTAAACTCAAACTGAAGTCAAGTAAGAACGAGCCAGTGATGGCACGTGTCAGGGGCGGATTTCCCCTTCAACTCCGTGCCAAGGGCAGAGCAGGCAGGTTTTTATTCTCAGCTCTTCTGCGAGGTGAGGTTCATTTTTCATTCTTCCCAACACTCTGGACGTTGGCCTCTGTGGGGCATTGGCACAGCACACTCTCGCTTTGAAGGGGCCTCCTCTTACCTCTCCCTGTGGAAGCCAGGGCTCTCCCTCCTCTCTGCTCTCAGGCCGCTCTAGAAACAGCAGCCCGTGGCCTCTGACCTTTCCCGCTCCAGATCTCTTTAAGTCAAGTCAGCAATCTGGGGTAGGGACAGGGAACTACACATTACCTGGCCTCTTATTTACAATCAGAGGAGTGAAGCAAGGACTTCCACCTGGCAACGTGTCAGAGACAGCCGATGTCCCTGAGAAATTTCCAGAAATTTGGTGACTTCTAACCCACCCTTCCCCTTCACACTCAGAGCAACATACTTTATTTGTGATTGTTCTTGACGCTGCTGGGGTTGTATCTCCCTTGGCATGAGCTTCCAAGGGCCAGGAGGAAGGGAAACCTCAATGTTCTCACCCCAGCAAGGCTGTGAGGGACCTGAAAGGGACACAGAGGACTCTGAAGAGGAAATGATGACTGAATCCAGTTGGGACACCCAACCCACACCAGAAAACCTCAAGGTACAGCCAGGGCTCTAAGTCGGCTTCCAGTGTCCCCAGCTGCTGGCATTATGATGTTTGGATCTGACCATGTGCCCTTTGCTCAAAGCGAGTCATGGTTGCTCCTTGCGGCTAAGGACCACATGCAACCAGGACGTTGACCACAGGAAATTCCCAAATGGACCGGTTCAAGAAAAGACTGACAGACAGACAAGAAGGAAGGAAGGAAGGAAGGAAGGAAGGAAGGAAGGAAGGAAGGGGGAGGGAGGGGGAAAGAGGGCTGGAGAAATGGCTTAGCAGTTAAAGACACTGGCTGTTCTTCTAGAGATCCTGAGTTCGATTCCCTGTACCCACAGGGTGGCTCACAAAAGTCTACAATGGAATCTAATGCCCTCTTCTAGTGTAGAGACAAACCAAACATATATATATATATATATATATATATATATATATATATATATTACACATACATATATATATATATATTCCTAGCATTTTATTTACAATCATTATATATATGTTCATATATATGAATATATATATGAATAAAGAGAGGGGTTTTTCTTTTCTTGCCTAGTGGCATAAGCTGTAACATCAGCCACCCAGAGGGGAGGCAGGAACACCGAGTACAAGCTTAGCAAGACCCTGTTTCAAAACCAAATGTGTGTGCACATGTGTGTGCTGTGTGTGTCTGTGTATGTGTGTGTGTGTATCTGTGTGTATGTGTGTGTGTCTGTGTGTATGTTTGTGTATATGTGTGTGTCTGTATCTGTGTGTATGTGTGTGTCTGTGTGTATGTCTGTGTATATGTGTGTGTCTGTATCTGTGTATATGTGTGTGTCTGTATCTGTGTGTATGTGTGTGTATGTGTGTGTGTGTGTGTGTGTGTGTCAGCAGCAGAGCTCTTGCCTAGCACATAGGAGGGCCAGGGTTCCAGCCACATAGCACTGCAAAAAGAAAAGAGAAATGAAATGAAGTCGGGTTTTCAAAGCTTCAGTGCCGTAACACTGAAATAGAACAATGGAGTCTGTCTCACACCAACAACTCAGGGCTGGTGGATATCAGAGGCCGGAATCAGAAGGCCTGGCAGAGAGGAAGCTGGATTGTCTGGTGGGCGCCAACACCTCGGCCCTCCTTCTTCCTAAAATGGAGTCCTCCGTCCTGCTCCCTAAATATCCCTGGGTCTTTCGAGCCCTCGTTCCGCTCCCACCTTCCGTCACACTTCTGCCTCGGAGGGAAAAATAACCCAGCGGCAATTCGTCTTCCTCAGGCACTGCCCGCGAGCTTCGAAGTTTTTTTCACAGCTGAGTTATTTCTGATCTCGGTTCTGGCAGAAAGAAATCTAGAGCAACTGTGTGTGTGTGTGGGGGGGGTGCGTTTGGAAGCCGCGCCAAGCCAAACAGTGTCTAAAAGTCTACAGCTGAGCCGCCAGCCCAGGGAAAGAGTGTTTCCACTCAGAAAAACACCTAAGACCACAGGGGATGCCAAATCAGGGAAAAGGAGAGTCGGGAAAGAAATCCATGGGCTAGGACATCAGGTGGCCTCCAGCCCTGAGCACAAGGTCTCACACTCGGCCCTGAAAGCATGTGAAGGACCACAGAAGCTTGAGAGGTTCTTGGGCCTTTGCATGTGGAAACATGACAGAGTAGTGTGGGGTCAGGCAAGTCACCTGACGCGGCCTCTACTCCTATAGCTAACAGAGATGATGCTGACAGTCGAACCTCAGGTGTCAGCCCACCTGTGGAGTAAAGTTATCTATGTCATCATCATGGTGCCAAGCAAGCTCCTGCTGCTGCTCAGTATGCCAAGTATGATTTACTGATGTTCAAAAGATGATTGATGGAGATGGGTATGATGGTGATAAGGGTGATGGTGGTGATGGTGACAATGACAATGGCAGAGATGGTGTCAGTGGTGGTTTTGAGGGTGGTGGTAGAGACAGCAGGCACGATGACGATTGGTGATGTTAACGGCAGCAGTGATTATGGCAATGAGGGTACAGAAGATATTGAACTTGAGAAAGGGGTAGGGTTAAGGTCATTTTCAAAATGGTCTCCATAGGCTGGGGAGATGGCTTAGTCAGTAAAGTGCTTGTCACATGAGCTTGAGATTCTGAATCCCTAGCACTTGTGGGTTACAAAACACAGAAACAGGCAGGCGAGGCATGGTGGCGCACGCCTTTGATGGAGGCAGCACTTGGGAGGCAGAGGCAGGCAGAGTCTCTGAGTTCAAGGCCAGCCTGCTCTACAGAGTGAGTTCCAGCACACCCAGGGCTACACAGAGAAACCCTGTCTTGAAAAACAAAAACAAACAAACAAAAAAAAAACCACCATTGCAAGCAAACAACATAAGAGACAAGAGAAATGCTGTGAGTTCAAGGCTAGCCTGGGCTACACAGTAAGTCCTGTCTCAACATAAACACAGAAAGAGCTACAGACATAAATCTGTGTTGATGACTGTTACCTGAAGTGTTGAAGAATTTGTCCAGGAGCCTACAGTGACAAAGGGAGACAGGCAGACAGACAGGCAGATAGACAGACAGATAGACAGACAGGGAGACAGACAGACAGACAGACAGGCACACAGGCAGAGAGGCAGATAGGGAGACAGGCAGACAGGAGGACAGACAGGGAGACAGACAGGAAGACCAACAGGCAGACAGATAGACAAGCAACATGGAAGAAATTTAGTTCTCCTCCTGTGAGGATTTGACTCCCTGTGGCCTCCTTGTCCCCTGGCAGCTGGACTAATAGGGTCAGGCCATCCTGGCTGTCCCAGCCCAGGCAGACACTTCCCACCTTCTTCACAGGGCTCTTGTGAGGCGACACAAGTCATGCTTGTTTAAGGAAGTAAGAAGGGTGATAAAATCCAAAGCATATTTTGGGAAACAGGAGCCATCAGAACTCTTGGGTGTTGAAAGAGGTGACAATGTCTCCCTTGGAACAACAGAGAAGGCATCTGCTGGACAGAGCAGAACTTGAGTCGAGACACAGTTGTCAGCATGGGGCAAAGACTACAGAGCTCCAAATAAAAAATCAATTCGAGGGTTAGCGAGATGGCTCACTGGGTAAAGCTACTTGTGGCCAAGACTGAAGACCTGAGTTCAAATCCTGTGACTGCATGGTGGAATGAGAAAACTGATTCCCACAACCTGTCCTCTGACCTCTACTTGTGAGCTGTAGCATGCACTTCCCCCAGGATAAATAAATAAACGGGAGGGGGGGGGAAATCAATTCGAATGCATTCTTCTTCCCACCTACCTCGCAGGCTGAACAAAGATTATTCATAAAACAAATAAACCCTAGGAAGATTAGGAGACTCTAAGTGGAAAGCTACCAGAGCTTTCAAATCACCAAAGATACACTTTTTTAGGGATACAGAATGGCCTTTCTGTGCCACAGACACAGGGGTGGGGGATGGGGGAGAGATTGACAACCCGACTAAGGGCAGGGGGTTAACCTCTGCAGCTTGCCTGGCAAGGAAAGCCCTTAAACCAACAAGGGTTTTATTTTCTTTTATTTTTTGAAACTTGACAAAAAATGATACCAAATTTCATCTGGAAAAATAAACACGAGAGAGCAGCCAGGGAAAACGTAAGGAGACACAGAAGTATTGAAGGCGAGCTGGCTTTACCAGATGTTCAGGGGCTAGGAAGGTACGGCTTTTAAGAAAGTACTGTTGCGCTGGAAAAGGAGCCAGCTTGGACCGTGCAGAGGCGGGCGGGCGGGCGGGAGCGCAGCAGAATCAGCATGGAAATGGGAGCGGGTGGGTGTTTCCTATCGGAGAGGAAAATGCATTGTTCAAAGCAAGGCACTGAGATAACTGGAAGTCAGCCAGCTGGAAAAAATAAAACAGAATCCCTACCTCACCCCTTATACCCAAATAGATTCCAGATGGAGCCAACATTTAAACAAACAACACACACACAAAAAAATGAACCATAAAAGTTCTCAAAGAAAACATAGGTGAACTTATTTATAGTTTTGGAAATGTCTTTCTGAGCCGGGGAGAGGACTTGGAGGCCATGCTGGGGACGGAAACATCATTGGAAAAGGGAGATGAGGCTTAAGTGCTCACACGCTCGCCGGTCTTAAAGGTTGACGGAGGGAAGGAAAACAGGCTCTCCACACAAAGATGCAGCAGTGTCCTGAGATGATGAACAGCAGGGCTGGGGAAATGTGAGCTTTGATCTCTCTCTGATCTGCCTGAAAGTCAACCATTTAGAGTCCAAATAAAGTCTTAAAGGGGCCGTCCCGATGCTTTGGGAACACGGAGCGGCTCTCGGTGAACGAAGAGCTGTGAAACTTTCAGAGACTTCAGACCTTATTCAATACTTTAAAACATTTTCGCTGCCAGATAGGGCAGTGGGGTACAGCTGTGATCCCAGTTCTAGGCAGGCTGGCTGGGGCAGGAAGGATGTGTGCCCAAGGCTAGCCTTGTCTACATAAGCAACACCATGTCTCAAATCCCAAGGGCTGAGGCTGGGGATGGGGTTGGAGCTGGGGCTGGAGCTGGGGCTGGAGCTGGGGCTGGAGCTGGGGCTGGGATCCATCTCAGTGGTGGAACATTTGTCTGTCATACCCAAGGGTTTCTGGGCCCAGCATTTCTGGGGCTGACAGGGTGGTTGAGTGGGCAGAGGTGCTTGCCGTTCCCCTATGCAAGCCTGACACCGGAGTTTTGTACCCAAGTAAGGAGAGAACCAACTAACTAAGTTTCCCTCTGACCTGCACATATACAAACACATGACACGCACCCCTACACTCATCACACGCACCAGAAAAATACAAGATGCTACGAGATGGCCCATATCTGTCATCTTGACACTTGGGAGTTAGAGGCAAGAGGACCAGAGCTCAAGGCTGGCTTAAAACCGTGCCTCAAAAACAAAAGAAAGATAAGCCAAAATTGACAAGGATTTTGTTTATTTCCCAGCACTGTAAAACAGCCTTGATAGGTGAGTGGGTGGGTGGGTGGATAGATGGTTGGATGGATAGATAGATAGATAGATAGATATAGAGAGATAGAATTGTCCAAGATCTCAAAATACAGAAACCCCACAAATGTCTGTAGAAACATCTCAAACACCATTAATAAGCATATAATTTGGTTTATAATATGTATTTTGATAACTATGTAATAACCTCTGTATGAAAATAACAAAAATTACTTAACCAGGTCCAGTTAAGCTTTTTTTCTGGGTTTCACACTCAAAGCATCACTGTGATGAACAGTTGGCTACTGTGTACAGTTTTACAGACAGATGTGAGTAGTTCTTTATGATGTGCTACCAAGAAAATGAGCCTGTTCTGCAAGACACATTCTACCACTGAGCTGCAGACCCAGCCCTAAACAGTGTGTGTGTGTGTGTGTGAGAGTCTGTGTGTGTGTCTCTGTGTGTGTCTGTGGTGTGTCTGTGTATCTCTGTGTGTGTGTCTGTATATGTGTCTCTGTGTGTGTCTGTGTGTGTCTCTGTGTGTGTGTGTGTGTCTGTGTCTGTGTGTGGTGTATGTATGTGTGTCTGTGTGTGTGTCTGTTTGTGTGTGTGTCTGTCTGTGTGGTGTATGTATGTGTGTGTGGTGTAAGTATGTGTGTGTGTGGTGTGTGTCTGTCTGTGTGTGAGTGAGTCTGTATGTGTGTCTGTGTGTCTATGTGTCTATGTCTGTAGGTCTGTGTCAGTGTGTCTGTATGTGTGTCTGTCTGTCTGTGTCTGTGTGTATGTCTGTGTCTGTGTGTCTATATGTGTGTGGTGTGTGTGTCTGTGTGTGTGTGTGTGGTGTGTGTGTCTGTCTGTGTGTGTGTCTGTGTGTGTCTCTGTGTGTACATGTCTGTGTGTCTATGTGTCTATGTCTGTGTGTCTATGTGTCTGTGTGTCTGTGTGAGAGAGTCTCTGTATCTGTGAGTGCAGAGGTCAGAGGTTGATGTTAAGATGTTTCCCTCATTGGCTTTCCACCTTATTTTGAGGCAGGGTCTCTCAATGAACCCCAGTCTCTGCCTGTTCCCAACTCTGAGGTCAAGGCTCCTGCTACCACACCTAACTCCATATGTAGGATGCCAGTGATCCAAACTCAGGCCTTTCTACTTGCACTAAAAGCACTCTAAAAGCACCAGGGCATCTCTACGCCCTCAAAGTTTCATCAGGAATCAGTAGACACACTCCTGTATCAGGCCATTCTGAGGGAGGGCTGCTGTGTCCTTACACCTCCCTTAAACCAAGAATCACATTGCTTTGTCAAATACATTCTTTGAAAGGTGGAGACAAGACAAGGCAGGCATGGTGGCACACACCTGCAATCCCAACACTTTTGAGGCAAAAAAGCTCAAGGTCAATCTCAGCTATTTAGTAAGCTTAAGGCCAACCTGGGCTACAGTTACACTTTGCCTAAAACAACAACAAAGGCAAGGTGGGGTTGTGGCTCTGTGGTTAAGCACTTGCTTACTTGGTCATGCCTGGTTCCACCCCAGTGACGCAGGAACACACACACACACACCAGCAGGCTGGAGTTGGGGGATTGGAAGGAATGACCATGCAAAGACCCCTCCCAGGAATAAAGCCCTGAAATAAAACAAGTTTGAGTGATCAGCATTTAAGAAATCTGTTTTAGTTCTGCAACTGACCTGCAATGAAGTCCCCAGTGTGTCCCTCCCTATACTCCCCCACACACACACACTCACACACCCCCAGTTTTCCCATCTGTAAGGCCTGAAATAAATCCGCTTCTCACACACCTACTTAGCACATGACAAGAAGGGTAAAACTGAGTGTCTGGGGTACAGGGGTCAGGTGGCTGTAACCTGAGAGATAGACACATCTGGGGACTCCAACCTGTCACTGACTGGGCAAAGCTAGCTCTGTTCCCATCCCTCAGCTGAGGCCACTGAGGATTGGGAAGTCAACTCCCCTGTTAGAAATGATTGGCTTTCCTGTCATGAAGAGAGCTGGGGTCCAGGCCCAGCTTCCTAGGTCTCTGAGCTATTGAACTAGGCCTCAACACCAACCTTGTTCCCCATGGCCTTAGAAAGATACACTCAGCCGCCTTGACTGAGTGCCTAAGGCTCAGGGTTCTGGCTCCAGCCTCCCTCTGTGGTCTGGCCAGACACACAGTCTCCGTTTCCCACAAACAGATTTTAAACATGCACATTATGCCGGGGAGGACGGTTTTCTTTCCTCCTGGCCTTTGTTCACCTGCAGTGTTCCTGGATCCATCTCCAGCAACTGCCTCCACTACAGCTTTGTGTGCCCTGAACATTCTCCATAATGTATAACCCGAGGTTGGAATCAAAGGCCACAGAGTTGTACAAGACTATCTGCAAGTCACCATTGAAGCCTTCTGAGTCTGTGAGTCTTGGCATTCTCTCTCTCTCTCTCTCTCTCTCTCTCTCTCTCTCTCTCTCTCTCTCTCTCTCTCTCTCTCCTCTTCCTCCTCCTCCTCCTCCTCCTCCTCCTCCTCCCTCCATCCCCTGCATTCACATTTATACCTAGAAAGATATAAACGTCTCTGTTCTCTATGATATATTTCCATGATGTCTATGTCCAGAAAAGTAAAGATTGCAACTTAGTGTCCTTGGGTTAAATTGTGATAAAGATGTCTGTGTGTGAGAAGGAGGGTTCTGGACAAAGAAGCTAAGGTCAGACACTCCCATGGGTTTGACCACTTTTCTCCTTCCAGGCACCCATTCCTTCAGCCTCCATGAAAACCCTCCCAGCCACTGCCTCTAAGAAATGAACCCAGGGCCTCTTGTCTCAGGAGTCCCTTGCCTGGCCCTGCTAACTCTCTAAGCCTCCATGGCTACTCACCTTCAAACCATCAAGCAAAGGCCTAAGGGTCTCTACTGTGGAGGTTATTCTTCCGGTTCCTCGGTATGAACTTGACCACGTGCTCTGTCTTCCTGTGCTTCAACTTCCTCATTTGTAAACTATCATTAGCATCTCCTTTGTAGACCTAGGTAAGAACGAAATTGAAATTCGTTAGCTTTGTAAGCCCCAAACTCAAGGCCTGGCACACAGTAGGCACTTGCTAAAGAGATGTGGTTACTATCGTCTTTACTTGTTCCTAAAGTAGTTGGGGCGTGCTCAGAGCAGCCCGGCAGCCCCTTCATGTAAGTACTTAGGAAGTCCCCTGGATGCAGGCCCAGAGACCCAGAATGTGAAAAGGATAAATCGTCTCGCCAAGCTGGACAAAGTCTGCGCCCGCAGAGGGGGAAGGGGTGAGGGCCGCCCAGGGTTTAAGCTGGGGACAATGGGCGCCGTCTGAGCTGCCCAGAACCTCTTCTTTGAGTCCTGAGAAGACCTATTTTCTTGTTTAAAGCTTTAAAGAGCCATTAAGTTGGGCAAATCCCTGGTAAAACAGCTGGAACCTAAGTAGCAATTTAAACAGCCCATTGCTCTTCCATCCCGAGGAACGGGGCTGCTGGACAGGCGATCTCCGGTCCGGGTCTGACATTGTCAGGCTAAGAGGATTGACTGGGACCCTTCCCTGAATGCAGCCGGCTGTCTTTAGCAAACCCGTACTTCCACTCCCACCCCCTCCTCTTTTTTTTTTTTTTTTAAGTGTGCAGACCTAACTCTAATCTTCCCTCCTTTCTCTCCCCCTCCTCCTTGAATCGGTCTATTCTTTCACTGTGTGGAACTAATGAAGGCCGCTCAGAGTCCCCCTCTCAGGAACAGGGCCCGAAATAAAACATGTTTGATTGATCAACTTCAAAAAAGTCCTTGGTGGGGAGGTGGGGAGCTGGAGGAAGGAGAGGGAGAAGGTGACTGGGGGGTGGGGGGGTGCAGGGAGGGGCTCCTAGCTGGCCTGCAAGGGGGAGGGGGTTCTGTGCCTGGCTTGGGAGTGACAGCCCCCAGGGAGGAGGGGGCCTTGCATAAAGTCCCTGTCTATCCCCAAGATTCATTTGTTTGTTTTGTGGGCCTGTGATTGTGTAGGCGCCAGGGCCTCCTGCCTCAAGACCCAGGGTCCCCCAGCAGAGGACAGAGGAAGACTGCAATGCTTCGCATGGTTTTATTTTATTTTGTCTTCATCTCTCTCACCACAAATAAAAATCTTGGTCAGTCAAACAGACTTCTGGCCTTCCAGCAATCCCTGTCCCCCCAGAGCAATGTGGTGACCACTGTGAAACTTCCATTCCAGGCATCCCCCAAGTCTTACTGTGCCCTGGTGCCTGCCAGATCCCGCCTCTCAACGAGCACTTACAGAGCACCCGCTTTGTCCTAGTCGCCTCTGTGAATTAATTTTATTTTCATGGGTTTTCAGAATTGTTTTAACTGCGAAAACCAATTTCAAAACAATCCATGACCCACAAGGGTATACAGGGGAAAGTCACATCTCTTGCTGGGGCCTGTGTGAGGCAGGGCAGAGGTGAGTGCAAAGCCCTGGGTTCTAGAACCAGTAAAACAGGTAATACATAAACCGTGAAACAAAGTCAAATTCCTGATAAGGATTGCTAAATGCTGTGCTAGGAGGAAACGCTATTAACATTTGGATATGTTGAGAATTGAGAATGACAGAGATGGCTCAGTGGTTAAGAGAGCTGGGTTCTATTCCCAATACTCATATCAGGAGGTTCACCTGTAACTCCAGCTGCAAGGAATACTATGCCCCCTTCTGGCCCTGAAGACACTGCACTCATGTGCATAAACCCACATACGGACACACAGACACACAGATATACACACACATACACACACACACAATTAAAAGTACTTGGGAGCATTTTATTAATTTTAGCTGTATTTATTTGCTCACAACAGTAAGGAACAACAGTAGGAGACAAAACTGGGGCCTTGTACATGCTAGGCAAGCACTGAGTCCATCTTTTCTCTAAGACGACTCCAATTCACCTCCCACCACCAGTGCCCGAGGCTGCCCCCCACCCACCCAGCCTGCACTGTGTATTACTGGTCTTATAGTCAGTACATTCCACAGGGGAACTGGCTGTCTCATTGCTGACATAGTTGGGCCCAGGGAGGGGCTGAAGTTAAACTGTCATTAGCCCTGGTCTGCCTCTACCAGACCTGGTCCGGTCCTTCCCACTCTGGATACTAGCAGATGGTATCCTCAGTCAGTTTTCTCAGGGCTTCTTGGAATTGTCCCTCTGGCCACTGGGAAGTTCAAGAGTTCTCGGAGTTGTTCCTTCCTACCTGTTGTGATTCAGACCTGGGACAAGCCACTGAGGTGCCTTATTTAATATGACAAAGTGAACCTGGCCTCCAGGTTCTCCCAGCATCCCTCAGTCCCTTCCTGGAATTTCCAACCCAGGGCCTGGGCTTCTGGTCCCCCAGAGGCTCTTCACTACATAACCTAGACATTTTGGCTCTCTCTCTCTCTCTCTCTCTC